TTGTATTCAATGAGACGATCACATTGCATTCACCTTTTTAAAGCACAAAGTTTTTGCTAAACTATATACTTTGTATTCTAAAGTTACTTAGCTCCTGACAGTCACATTGCATTTACCTTTCTATTTGTGTGTTTTTTTATCAAGTGATGAGCCCATTGGTTACCGGAAATTGCATGAAACTTTTATTGGGTTTTTATCAGTTTCTTAGGATAGATACCTTTCTGTAAGAAGTTGTTTCTCTTTCCTTCGGACCAAATAGTGAAATTCTGGATTTGCAAAAGATCTAGACCCCTCTGAGGGGAAAAAGAGTCAAGCCATTCATTGTATACGTCCTATGTGTTGGGAATTTAATGCAACGGAAACGCGGTATAGAGAACAGTACACCAAGATTTACGAGGTTCGGCAACTGCCTACGTCCTCGGGAGCCACACAGATAATTTCTTATTAATCCAACAAGAAATTACAATTTTAGGAGCAGATCCCTAAACTGGGATTTCTCAAATAAACACTGTAGCTACAGTGTTAATAATCAAAGGGTATGAACCCTTTCAATTCTCAACTGAGAATAAATACCCCACAGATAAAACCCTCTTTCTTTTCTTCTCTCTCTCTCTTAAATCCCCCTTCAATCACTGTTGGAGCTGGGGATTAAGTCACAAATCGCAGCAGCGATTTAGGGCAGCCGCCAGAGAAGAATCGGAGGAGGAAAGGGGGAAGCCAGCGCCTTCGAAACCCTAGGGAGAGGGTTTATATAGGCGGAGATGAGAGAGCTGGCGACAGCCTGTCGCCAGCGATTAACCCTGACGCAAAGGTCGGGTTCGCCCAAAAAGCAAACGCAGAGGTCGGGGGGCAGGCGAACGCAGAGCTCGCCATCGACGCAGAGCTCGCCATCGACGCCCGCTTCGAACGAACGCAGAGCTCGCCATCGACGCCAGCTTCGAACGAACGCAGAGCTCGAGGCTTCGAGCTCGTCCTGTCGCCTGGACCTCGCCGCCTGGACCTCGCCGCCGCCATCCTGGAGCTCGTCGGAGCTCCTCCGCCGCCGGAGGTTGGTATCCACCCCCAACCTAACAAGTTGGTATGGCCATAGTTTGTTTCTTATTTTATCTATACAATATACTAAAGTAATAGTATATTTTTTGCCACATGTCAAAATTCTAGAATATTTGACACGTATCAAATTTTTAGAGCATCTGTACTATATGCTAAAGTAAGACCTTAAATTACTACTTGGTAACTTGTGGTTATTTTGACTATTTATTCTCGGCTTCTTCTTTATACATAACCTTCCCCTACACATAACCTCTCCATTAATCTAATCCAATTAACTTCCATGTAATAATAAATAACTAATACATAATTTAATAACTAATATTTGAGAGAAACACTTCTTTCTTTCTCCCAACAACATTCCAACCACACGTTCTTATGAATTACCATATAATTTCAATTGGAGTCCTTCCAATTCTTTGCTGTAACTTCTATCAACTCTCTAAATATTTCTTCTCTACATATTATGATTTTTTACATTTATCCGAATTGCATGATCTCTTTCTCAATGACAGCATACAACATTCATCATGATTGAAACTGAGTGATTTATGTGAGATTATCTTCTTTCCTTCATCATCTTCTAATTTTTATGTTATGTTATTACTAAAAAAATTAATTACAGTGCATATGAAGCTGAGCTGGCCGATGTTATCCCTGTGATCAAAACTTCAATAGCCGGTACCAGAATCATTGGCCGGCTTTGTGCAGGTGAGTGTTTTTTAGTTCAATTTGGTAAGAATCTAATTAAGGATTATTAAAGATGTTTTTTTTTTCCTGGCAAATAAATCTAATTTGTTTGGCTTTTTAGGGAACAAGAATGGGCTTCTTTTGCCGCACAACACCACTGATCAAGGTAAATTCTCTTGGGTAACTCGGATCTAATTTGTCTCTGTAAATAGGATTGTGCTGCTTCTTTCAATCGAAATCCTAGCTGAACTGTATTATGTGATCAACAAGAACCTTTCATGTAATTTTTTTTAGGTTGTGATTGTGATGGATGCAATTGCCTTAGGAAATCTTATCGGTAGTGCTTAGTATTCATAGATTTTAGACTTATCTGGTTTTAGGGAGTTGAAGAGCTTCTTAGTTGTATGAGCTTATATCTTTGGCAAAGAGAGGACCACATTGATGGGAGTAAGGCATGGAAAGGATGGTTATGGTTGTAAGTTTGATTTCGTGGATTATATCGTGTTTAGATGATGTTTTTGTGTTGTCTACGAAATCACCAATCATGCAAGTAGAGCGTAACTTAAGCAGTTCTATTCTTGTGTTTCTTGCTTAGGAAACCTTTGTGACAATGGGTGACTATGAGATGGATCCCTTCAAATGTAGATTTTATTTATTTATTTATCTATCTATCTATCTATTTATTTATTTTCAATCTGTTCTGATAATAGCCATTTTTCAACAAATGAGTGTAGTATTGTTTGTGTGAAAACACAGTATTGCAGACTAGAAAATAAATGTGTTATATTGCTGACTATAAAGACCAACCGCCCAATTTCTCTTGTAAAAGAGCAATACATCTATGTATCTTTCTTTCTAATAAGTTTGATAGCTCCTTCCCCGTAACTAGTGGATAAAATTTTCTTCATGAAAGACAATCCTTTTTGAACTGAAACGTATTAGCTCGTCCATCTCAAGAAAGAGTCCATACAACAACACAAGTTCCTCCTCAAAATCCTTATGGATGTGCTACTATGAATTCGATACCAATTTCTGTGTAGTACAGGAGAGATTCAATTATATATCTAAATATAGAAATATAAAAAGTTTTTAAAAAACATTAAAGGATCCCAAATATAAAGGCTTTTTAAATATGTTTTTTGTATTTTGATTCTAGTTTGCATGTTGCTTATGGTAAGAAATAATAGATTATATAAAGCATCCATTTTGTTTTGATTATGCATCTCTGTTTTTCAAGTTATATTGTGACTGATTATATCCTACCTCAAGTATCAATCAATTACATTATGTTATTACTTCTTTGGGATGAATTCAACCTCATGAGGCTTGCCTATATTAACACATTCTTTTCTATATTAGATCAGTTGATAGCATAGTGAAGCTTTGCTTATCATATCTAAAGTACATAGCACATGTAGAGGCACAAGGCAGGCACACTCATAATTTTCTGTGTTGGATAAGTGACACAGACAAACATTCATGGGTGCGTCTTGGATGTTTTTTGACAATGAGACGATCACATTGCATTCACCTTTTTAAAGCACAAAGTTTTTGCTAAACTATATACTTTGTATTCTAAAGTTACTTAGCTCCTGACAGTCACATCGCATTTACCTTTCTATTTGTGTGTTTTATCAAGTGATGAGCCCATTGGTTACCAGAAATTGCATGAAACTTTTATTGGGTTTTTATCAGTTTCTTAGGATAGATACCTATCTGTAAGAAGTTGTTTCTCTTTCCTTCGGACCAAATAGTGAAATTCTGGATTTGCAAAAGGACCTCGCCGCCTGGACCTCGCCGCCGCCATCCTGGAGCTCGTCGGAGCTCCTCCGCCGCCGGAGGTTGGTATCCACCTCCAACCTAACACTATGAGCTCCCAAGCTGGTAGATATTAGTCCAGGATTTTTCTTACGGTCTTACCATAAGAATTTCATGTATAATGCTAGGGAAGTGAAAATTAATCCCATGAATATATCAGTATGGTGGGTAGAAGGCATTTGGCGGCACACTATGTGCAATATTTGTGTAATTACTTTGTTGTTGTTTGAACTTTGCAACTGTGTTTATCTGGGGTGACATTAAATGTTGAATGCACTTTTCATTGTGTTCCTGAATTCTGATGCTTCACTTATATATTTATTATTACTTTTATTTATTCCTTATATATACCTAAAGAATTTTAGTCTTTTATTGTAAATATTTGCTGGGAATTTCTTCGACAAACCTTAATAACATGGACAATGAGATGGTTACAAATTTTGGCTGATGTGTTCAGTTTCTCTCCGAAATGTTTAATATTATACTGTCAAAAAGACTGATCATGCAAATTATTGACTCTTATATTGATTTCCGCTTCAGAGCTTCATCATTTGAGGAACTGCCTGCCTGATCAAGTAGTTGTTCAGCGAGTTGACGAGAGACTGTCTGCTCTCGGAAAATGTGTTGCCTGCAATGACCACGTAGCTCTTACACATACTGATCTAGACAGGGAAACAGAGGAGCTCATAGCTGATATTCTCGGAGTCGAAGTATTTAGGCAAACAATTGCTGGAAACATTCTCGTCGGAAGTTATTGCACATTTTCCAACAGAGGAGGCTTGGTAAGGAAACAATTTGTTTATTTTGGGTCTACTTCAGAAAATCCTCCTAATATTTGCAATATTTACAGAAATATCCAAGGTTTCAAACGTGACAGTTTGACCCCCTTTGTTTCAATATCTTAAAAAAATAATTTGGATGAAAAAAATATGGTAAGAGGATATGACAATCTATGCGCTCCATACAACCATTTATATGATCAGCATATTGAAATTGATTACTATATTGAAGAATTTGATGAATATTTGAATAGAAACTGAAAATGATAAGTTGGATAAAGTGTCACTTTTAAAAGGGTAATTGTTTGCGTAACCCCTGTTAAGTTTGTCCTATTTTGAGATACTGGCCACTCTACCCCACACAACCCCCAAAAAAACAGAATAAAGAACAAAAGGAGAAAAAACCCTTTATAAATGTCACTTTAACTCCTTATCTTTGGGGCTTGTAACGAAACCCCCAAACATTTTCAAATATTTCAACATGACCCTCTAACTGGAACCTGCATTATGCCATTAGAGGGGTGTATGTTGCAAATAAGGGACGGTTATAAAATTTATGGAGGTTAGCTCAAAATGCATCAAATTTTAGGGGGTTGTATGAAATTTACCTCTTTAAAACCCTAGGGAAATTTTATGTCATTTGTCCAACAAATTTTAGGGGGTTGTATGAAATTTACCTCTTTAAAACCCTAGGGAAATTTTATGTCATTTGTCCAATCTTACCAGGATTTTAAAACAAACTGCATCTCCTCTGTATCATCTTGAAACAGGTTCATCCTCATACGTCAGTCGAAGACCTAGAAAACAAACTGCATCTCCTCTGTATCATCTTGAAACAGGTTCATCCTCATACGTCAGTCGAAGACCTAGACGAACTTTCAACGCTTCTTCAAGTACCTCTTGTCGCTGGAACTGTCAACAGAGGCAGCGAGGTCATTGCTGCAGGGATGACCCTTCTTCAAGTACCTCTTGTCGCTGGAACTGTCAACAGAGGCAGCGAGGTCATTGCTGCAGGGATGACCGTCAACGATTGGACAGGTTTTTGTGGATCGGACACTACAGCCACCGAGCTGTCCGTGATTGAGAGTGTGTTCAAGCTTAGAGAAGCTCAGCCAAGCTCCATAGTTGATGACATGAGGAAATCACTTATTGATAGTTTTGTATGAAGATTTGGTTTTGCAATTGTAAAAGGGTTTATGAGAGGAAATGTTGGTCTTGAAGTTGAATTTTGTTTTGTATCTCCCAAAATTAGTTGAGCAATAAATAGTTAATTGTATCCGCATCTCATTTGTTTACTTGATGATGATAAGTTTTGTTCCTTAAGATATTTGACGTCAATATTATTAGTTGAGCAGGAAAAACCCATAGTCCTGAACTATAATTCTATTCTTCGTTCTTTATTTCTGTGAAGTTCTCTTTTTAGTTGCTAATAAAAGAACGATAATTTGAGAATATTTCATCTTTTAATTGGGGTACTATATATTGTAAAAAAATAGAAACTTGACATTCGAGTAAATAAACTTCTACATTTTATTGGATTCGAATCATCTCCACTACAAAAAAAATAGTGGAGGGACCACTATATAATCACAGCCATTGATTATCTAGTTGATGGTTATGATTTTTTCTTTTAGTGCAAATTAGGAATGAGTGCAATACACGGTGGGTATGTAGATAGAAATGAGTGTAATTTCTAAAGTGTTGTGCCTCGAGAAACCAAACCAACCGCCGAGAGAGATAAACAACCACAACCAAGCAATAGCATAAACAATCAAACACCAATTTTAACGTGGTTCGGCAATAGCCTACGTTCACGGGGCAGGGGGGAGTTTTCACTATTAGAAATCAAGAGGAACAAACTAGGGTTACAAATCTCTCACCAAAACCCACAACAACTTACTCTTGATCTCTGCAAATGCTCCTAGAATAGAAGCCCAAATAAAACCCTCTCAATAATCTCAAAACCTCCTGCTTGCCCCAACCCTAGAAATCAGATCTAGGTATTTATATCAAGCCCAAACGAAACGGGTCTGGAAACAGAACCCAGACCTGAAACTGCGTCGCGGTCAACCGCAACGCCATGTGCGGTCGACCGTGATAAGTCAGGGAACTCAGCCAAAGTCTCTGGAAAAAATGCGGTCGACCGCCAAACATCCAGAGCCAAACTCCATTACCTGGGCCAGCCGCGGTCGACCGCTGCGCCATGCGCGGTCGACCGCCGATCGCGGTCGACCGCCGCGCCACCTGCGGTCAACCGCGCAGCACCCAAAAGCTCTCCTAGACTTATCCAATGCAGTTAACTCCATACACTAGCCGAATCTACAATTCTCCACCTCGAATCTACATAAAGTGTTGGCGTTATGGTCAAGAAATAAACTATAACAGTCTAGTTTATGGGACTGATTGAAAAAAATAATCTCTCTTATTCTTGAAATGTCGATACTGGATAGAATCCAAATCTAATAGACAATAAAGAGCATATTGTCATATGGTCGTAGGTGATTGCCGAACCAGATAAAAAAGTGGGTCCCAATGTCAGCTTTCATCACTTTTAATTGTTTGTTTGTAGTTGTGAAAATAGTATAAAGTGATTTCATATGCTGATGTGGCTTGTAAAGTGATTTCATAAAAAAAAGATATGATTTTAGGAGAAAGCTGACATTGAAGTCAGGAAAAAATAATAAAAAATAATTCCAACCAATATGATCATTTGAGTAGGGACCACTTTTTACACTTTCCAAACAAACAATTAAGGGCTTGTTTGGATTAAGGGGAATGAGGGTGAAGGGAAGTTAGGGGAACCATTCACCTCCATTCACCTTGTTTGGGAACACTTAGGAGGTGAAGTTAATTCACCCTAGTTCCCATTGGTTCACCCCCTAATAGTATAAAATTTGTTACCCCCCAAATTGGGGTGTAACCAAGGGGAAGGGAACTCCCTTCCCTTCCCTTCCCTTCCCTTCTCTCAGTTTCCCTTAACTTCCCTTCACCCCCTACAAATCCAAACATGCCCTAAAGTTACATTTACAAGCCAAACAAGCAATTAATGATTCCAATGGAATCAAAAACAAACAAAGAAAAGTATAAAAGTAAAATTGATGAGGTGGACAACAACTTTCCAAGTTGTGTCATAAATACACAACTTTACCAACAACAACCAAACAGCCCGTTAGCATCTTGTTTACTTTATTATGGTAGTATATTGATTGAGTTTTGCCACAAGGACCCAAAATATAGGACCAATAAATGGGACAAGTGAGGTGTCTCCCTCCTATTAGATAATGAGTTGACCATCATTAATGATGGCCAACTCATTATCCAATAGAAGGGGGACACCTCATTTGTCCCCCCTATTGGTCCCATATTTTGGGTCCTTAAAGAAATTTTCATATTGATTTTGTCTTTGTTGATTTCCAACAAATGGGGTCAGAGCTATTTGTGTCACCATAATCTTCTTCTTGGATGGAGAGAATGACTTCAAATCACGAGGATACCATAAACTTCAGATGTTTCATAAACTCTTATCAACTGATGATGATAAAAGTAGTTATCTGCTACATAATAAATAATTATTATTAAAATAGCTTAATTGTATATTGTACAATTTTTAATAGAGGCTCCAATTACTTTTACGTACGAACACCCTCCCATAACGTCGTGGGTCTCTTGCCTCTCTGTTTATGGCCCCTCGTTGTCTCTCCTCAATAATCTTCCTGTTCTCGAATCCACATCCTCTCTATTCTTGAATCCCTCCCTCTCTCTCTCTCTCTCTCTCTCTCTCTCTCTCTCTCTCTCTTCAGAGCTCTGGCCCCCCCTCTCTCTCTCTCTCTCTCTCTCTCTCTCTCTCTCTCTCTCTAAGCTCTTCCCCTCTTCAATCCCTCTATCCTTGAATCTCTCTCTATAGAATTCTCTGATGAGAGCCATGATGCTCTCTTCTTGTCTCACCTTAGCATCTTGCATCCTCCTCCTCCTCCTCCTCCTCCTCCTCTCAACATCTTCAAGAACTCGGCTCTCCGACGCATCACCACAAGCTGACGAGGCCTTCAGGAGCCACTTCTGCAGCCACGAATATCACCACCATCACCAACATTGGCCAAATTCTTGGTGTGACCATTTTGCCCTTCATAGCTCCGATCCCCACCCTCCTCCTCCTCCTCCTTTGACACCCGATGATGAAGACATCGATCCCCTTTACGGGGTACACAAGCGTTTGGTGCCCACAGGCCCCAACACTCTCCACAACTGAGCTTCATTGTGCATTGCGTTCATGCTCTGTCAGTGTCTTCTTTAGTTCGTCCTTTCCATGCTTCTTGATGGAAAGGATTCACTACGGAGGATTAATGGTCAGTGTCTTCTTTAGTTCGTCCTTTCCATGCTTCTTGATGGAAAGGATTCACTACGGAGGATTAATGTTTATTTGTTCTTGATTAGTTTTAAATCAGTCTAATATGAGATTACGGGTTTGATTAGGTGTTTTTGTTAGGTGGACGTGTTTTTGTTAGGTGTTTTTGTTAATTGTTACTCATTTCCCTTTATTCTTTTTGTTTAAGTAACATATTCTTTCTGTTTAAGCCCATCACTCTTTCTAAATCTATCTTATATGGGATAACAATTTTCTTAACGGATGCCCTTGGGCACTCGTCCATCACTCTTTCTAAATCTATCTTATATGGGATAACAATTTTCTTAACGGATGCCCTTGGGCACTCGTTAGGAGATAAGAAAAATAAAGAGAAATGAGTAGCAATTAAGTCCTCTGATTTGCGCTAATTCTCTCCTTAGCTCTCTCACTCTCTCTCTCTCTCTCTCTCTCTCTCAAGGGCACTAGTTAGGAGATAAGAGAAATAAAAAGAAATGAGTAGCAATTAAGTCCTCTGATTTAAACTAATTCTTCAATATAATCTAGATTCACTGGAGTGAATCCAGATTCACTGGAGTGAATCCAGATTCACTCCAGCGAAAGCTTGGATGGTTAGGATGGTTTTTAATGAATTGTTGAAGAAATAAATGCATGTGCTGTAATTTTAAAGAAATAAACGCATGAGTGAATCTAGATTCACTGCAGTGAATCCAGATTCAGTTATGTGAGGTGTTTGTTTTTTACCATAAAAATCGTAACTTTTTGCTGTAAAATGTGAAATCTTATCATGGTTTAAAATTTTATAGCTTGTTTTTTACCATAAGTTTCTTATTCTTTTTGTTTTTTATTTTTGCAGAAGATTATGTCAAGTGATTTGTTAATTTTATTAATTAGAGAGTAGCCACAACATCTCTAGTTATTTAAAATTTTCTTATGAAATCACATGTGGAAACTAGACATTAATTTGTAATTAATTGTATGTAATATGATTAAATATGCCCACAGGAAATTTGATTATATTTGTATGATTAATTGGGATGAAATATAAAATTATGTTCCTTAATCTACCCACAGGAATTAAGGGATGAATATGATTTGGTAGTTTCATCATATGGTTATTTTTATGAATCTAATTTGAGTAGGACTTTAGCCCACAGGCAGGTTTTATGTCACTAGATTCATATTTTGCATGATTTACATTGGTAAAGCATGATAAAGTTAAGTCTCAATTTTGTTAATAAGCATGTATATATATATATTTGTTTGTAGCAATTTTACCTGGGAATATTTCTGATGTCAATTGTGACATTCCTGAATTAAGGGGTGATAACTATAAGGTGTGGAAAGAAAGAGTGCTTCTGCATTTGGGATGGATGGATATCGACTATGCTATTCGGAAAGACGAACCACCGGGTATAACTGAAACTAGCACTCCAGATGCAGTTAATCTTTATGAAAAGTGGGAGCGATCTAATCGCCTCTCCGTTATGTTCATAAAGACCAAAATTTGTGCTAGTATTCGGGGTTCTGTCGATAAGCATACTAAGGTTAGAGATCTCCTTTATGCCATTGATGAGCAGTTTGCAACTTCTGACAAAGCTCTTGCTAGCACCTTAATTATGAAATTCTCATCCATGAGGCACCATGAGACTAAGGGTGTGCGTGATTATATCATGCGCATGAGG